TGGGCAGAGGCTGGGATATATATATATATATATATATATATATATATATATATATATATATATATATATATATAGGTCGATCGGTAGATAGATAGACATGGGCAAAGGCTGGGATAGATAGATAGATAGATATGAGTAGAGGCTGAAATTGATAGAGAGTTAGAGAGATAGACATGAGTAGAGGCTGGGATAGATAGATAGATGGATAGATAGATATGGGCAGAGGCTGGGATAGATAGATACTCAGATAGATATAGGCCGAGGCTGGGATAGATAGATAGATAGATATTTGCAGTGGCTGGGATAGATAGATAGATAGATAGATAGATAGATAGATAGATAGATAGATATTTGCAGTGGCTGAGATAGATACATACATAGATAGATAGATATGTGCAGAGGCTGGAATAGTTAGTTAGATAGATAGATATGGGCAGAGGCTAGGTTAGATAGATTGATAGATATATAGATAAACAGACAGACAGACTGACATGGGCAGAGGCTAGGATAGATAGATAGATTGATAGATAGATAGATAAACAAAAATGGGCAGAGGCTTGGATAGTTAGATAGATATGAGTAGAGGCTTGGATAGACAGATAGATAGATAGATAGATAGATAGATAGATAGATAGATAGATAGATAGATATATAGATAGATATGATTCGAGGCTGAAATTGATAGATAGATAGATATGTGTAGAGGCTGGGATAGATATATAGACAGACATGGGATAGATAGATAGATAGATAGATAGATAGATAGATAGAGATAGATAGATATGACTTGGGGCTGGGATTGTTCAATAGATATATAGATAGATAGATATCTGTAGAGGCTGGAATTGATAGATAGATCGATAGATATATAGTTCGATAATTTTCTTTCCATTCCAATGACGTCAGCGATTTGAAAAGAAAAGGAAGAAAAACGAAGATCCCCACCTCCCACTCTTTCATAATATCCTACCTTTTTCTCCTCCACTTACCCCTCCATACTTTCCCTCCCTTGTTATCTTTTGAAATTTCTTAAATCGTGTCCAGTGAAAGAAAGAGTGAAGCAATTTATTTAACATCTGAATGTTAAAAGTGATTGTGAAGACAACAAATTGGAGCTTTTCTCTCTGTTACTTTTACCCTTTCTTTCTTTCCCTTTTCTCGTATTGGTCTTCTCTCTCTCTCTCCTCTCACTTCTGCATCGATAACCACTCTCTCCTTTGTTTCTTTCGATTTCTCTCACATTTTCACTCACTCTGACACACTCTATATTTCCTTCTCCCACTCTCTCTATCTATTTTATTTTTCTCTCTCACTCTCACTATTCCCCGTTCCCCACTCTCTCATATTTCCTTCTCTTTTCTCTTAATCCCTCTCCCCGCCTTTATTTATGATTTTGAACTTTGATCTTTTTTTTCATTTTCTAAAAAAATTTTTTTTTCTTTCGTATTTTCAGATTTCAATTTTTTTCTGAACGAAATCAAAAAAATGGCTTCGTCTTTGAGGAATGAAATAAAAGAATCGAAAAAGCACCTCGTCGATTTGCAGGAAGATGTCGAAGAATTCGAAAAGCGGCTCCGTCGAGGGATTGAACAGACGAAGAAATCGATTGAACAATTATCAATCGATTGCGACGTGAATTGCTCCAAAGTCTGGCAGGAATTCGATGAATTTCTGGAAAAGACGTGGATGAAGGCCGCAGAGTTGTGCAACCAAATGAGAGAAAAGACGAGCGAAGAAGAAAGGAAATGGCGCCAAATTCTCGAAGAGAAAGAAAATCTCTTGGAGGAGGCGGGAAAATGGCTCCTGGATTTGCGCCATTTGTTTGCCGCCAGCAACGATGACGAGGACGTTATTTCTGGTGTCCGGTCGCTGGGAGCGGAGATTTCAGGGCGGCTCCATGAATCGTTCTTTCCTGTTGAGGAAGGTCATTTTGATGTGACATTTCCAGAATGGTGCCAACGATCATTAAACCAGCTTCAAAAAGAAATCGTCGACTTTAAGACGGTAAAGACATGGCATCCAAGGGAATTGGAACTTGAAAGCGAATTCCGCCTTCGGGGTTCGAACCTAGCGTGGATTCGGTCGATTGCCGCCAGCGAAGAAGACGGTCACGTGTTTGTTGTCGATCGGGGCGACTATTCGATCAAGGAATTCGGTGGGACTGGGGAATTCGTCGGCCGATGTCCACTGACGGACGAAGGATTATTACCCCTGGACATTTGTTGTCTTTCACAAGACAATTTCGTTGTTTGTGGGTGGGGGTGGGGTGAGGGGAGTGGGCGGGGAGGACTTTTGTTTTTGGCGCGAAGAAAAAATCCGCCATTTTTCGAAAAAAAAAAAAGAATCGAAACAAAAGAAAATCGATTTTATTCTTTGTGTCAAACGAACGAAAAAATTTTCGTTTGTGATTCGAATTTTGAAGAAATTCTTTGTTATTCTAAAGAAGGAAATGAAATCAAAAGAATCCAACTTGCGAAAATGCTGGGGTCGGGTTATTCCCCCCTCCTTCGTGCCGATCCCTCGACCGGGAATTTGTGGGGGACAAGACGAGGCAAGTCGGAATTCTTCGTTTGGAATGAAAATGGCCAAATTCTTCAAATCGTCGAAACTGAAAAAGAAATTCTCGATTTTTATGCCGACGAATTTGGGTTTTTTTATTTTTGCAACGAGGAAGGAATTTTTTCTGTCTTACCAGAAAAAATTCTGTACAAATTTCCGAAAAAACCTGCAAATTATCCGAAGATTTTTGTTTCTGGAAAAAAATTGTTTGTTTTTTTTAAAAACGACGGAGAAAATTTAACGAAAATTTTCAAAATTAATTAAAAAAAAAAAAAAAATTGAATATTTTTCCTGAATTTTACAAATAAAATTTATTTTAATTAAAATTCTTTTTTTTTTATTTCATTGAAAATTTTAAAAAATGAAATTAATTTTAATTAAAATTGTGTTTTGTTTTTCTTCTTTTTGATGTGAATAAATTTTCGTTTCTAAATTTTTATAAATGTTTTTAATGATTTCCCAATATGAGTTCAGGTAAATAAGACAGAAAAATGTTTATTTTTCGTAATATGAGTCGAGGCAAATAAATCTTTTAAAAAATGTTTAATAATTCTATGAAAAAAAAACAATGGATTTTACAAGATTTTTTCATTTGTTGACATTTTTTTTTTTTTGTTTCTCCGACCATCAAAAGTTGACAAAAAATGTGGAATTGAATTGAATTGAATTTTAAAATGGAATTAAATATTAAAAAAAAGAAAATCGATTAAAATTGATCGATTTTTTTTTCGTCTGCTAACAATATGAGTTGAGTCAAATAATTTCTTTTTTTTTTTCATCGGGGTTGGGTGAGGGGGTCATATTGATGCCCCAGGGTAAGGAAAGATTATTTTTTTTTAAAAAAAAAAAGGATATCTTTTGGGTCCCAACTGGAAGAGGAGATCGATTGGAAAGGGTGTGGCCCGTCTTTACCGGACGGGAAATGACGTCCGGTGGGTGGGTGAGATTAAAAACAACAATAACTATCATCATCATCATCATCATCATCATCATCATCATTCATAAGAATAAAATCCTTCCTTTTTCACAGATTCTCCTCCTCCTCCCGCTTCTAAATTTCATTCCTCCCTCTCCCTTATTTCTCCACCCCCGACTTTTCCCCCCTCTCTATATTTGTTTATGTTTTTCAATGCCAACCAATTCTGTCATTTTTTGATTACTGCAAACAAAAGAAAAAGAAAAGCCAAGCAATCCAAGAGAAAACTTTAAGTCAATCAAATGAGAGGAAGCTGTGGAGAGCCATAAACCCATTATATCTTGAAGAGAGATGAAATTGAATAAGGAAATAGATAAAAATAGATCTGAGTCTTAGCCATATTTATTGTTTTATTAATACATTTTCTTTCTATTAAACAAAATATGAAACTGAATCGATTTGGCTGGTATTATAGCGAGGTGGTTGAACACAAACGACCGAAGATTTCCAGTTTAGCCAGATTTGACCAGTTGCAATAAACAGTCATATATATATATATATATATATATATATATATGGCAAATAATCCTTCAAAGACAAGGAAGAAATTCCGTGAGAAATTAACCAAAGTTGAGATTGGAAGAGAAATATGGTTCAAGTGTTTCAACTTTTATAAGTCATCATCAGTGGAGGTAGAAAGAATTACATAGTACAGTAGACTGACCTGTCTAGCCTTGAATGGCAACAAGACAAGGGAAAAGGCTTTGGGAATCCACTCAATACACTAAAGATTAAATGACATTTCACATATATTGCATAAAAGAAAAAGGAGTCTGTGGAGAGCCATAACCGCTTACTCTTAGGTTCGGAATAAAAGGGTAGGATGGAATTAAAGGGACCAATCGTTCTACTCCGAACGGGAGATTATGTCCTGAAGGGGAGAAAAGCAACAGAGAGGTGGGGGGGGAGAAAAGAAGGACTCATAACATTGTCTCCGTCGTCGTCGATGTTGTTGTTATTTTGGTTGTTGTTGTTTTAGTAGAAGAAGAAGAAAGGAAGAGAAAAAATAACGTCATCATGATCATCATGATCATCATCGTCATCGTCATCATGATCATCGTCATCATCTTTAACAATTATAAAGTAATTTCCATGAAATAGATTTAAGAATACAATACTTTCTTTTTCCCAGGCTCCTCCCCCTCCCATAATGTCAGCTTCTCTTTTCTCCCCCTTCATTGTTTTTATCTTTTCTTGATTTTTTTTTACTCCCTCTACTTTTTCTCTCTCCCTCTCTCTCTTTCTCTCTCTCTCTCTCTGTATCGTTCCCTCTCTCTTTTACGATATCAAGAGGAAAGCAACAAAATGGAAACTGAATTCTAAACAATCCAAGGGAAATAACTCTGATTAATTTTTTTTCTTTTTCCCCCTTGAATTGATTCTTTATTCCGGGGTTTAACGCCTTTTCTTTTTCTTATTCTATTCAAATCTATCAATAAAATTATCAGAAATTCGTTAATAAATCGATTATAATTCGAACATTTGATTATTTATTGATATTTGTGTTTTCCTTCCGATAAATGGTGCCAAAATATTGACCCGAAATTGTTTGCTTTTTTTGTTATTTTTTGATACAGAACAGAATCAATTTCTTTTGGTATTTGGAGAGAAAAGTCGAAAGAAAGAATTGAGACCGGGAAAATTTCTTTGTAAATAGCCCCCAAAAGTGGAATTTTTAAAAAATTATATTATTAGACTTTCTAAATAAAAAAAAAAGTGTAAAACACATTTTAAATACTTTAAATGTCTCCTTTGAATTTAATTTTTTCTTCCATTTCAAAGATAATCGCCTAAAAAGTTAATCCGAATAAAAGGAAAAATTAATTTCCGTATATAAATAAACTTTTTAGGCATTTTTACAAGTTTGGATGTTTTTCGAAGTCTTTTAGTAAATTTAAGTATTAATTAATTGGATTTTCTTAATCTAATAATTACTTTCCCTTAAAATAGAATGAAAATAACGTTTTATTTACGCACGGCTGCCTGCCGGGGTCAAAGCGTACAATATAAATTAATTCCAATTACACCCAAAAAGGCGCGCGTAAAAGTAAAAAATATAACCTAAAGATATACAGCAGACAAGAAATGACATAATAGTTTCTTATTATTTTTTAAAATAATAATTTTTTAACCAATAATTTAAAAATATAATTTTTTTCTATACAATTTTTTATTAAAATTAGGATAATGAATAAATTTGAAAGCAGTAAGTCGCTCCCTAAAGAAAAATATAACGTAAATGTAGTTTGCGTTCAATTAACGTGAAAAGAAAAGAATTTATTCTAAATGTAAATTTTAGAAAAATGACAATATAAAATATTATTTTCTGCAAATGAATTAGTTTCGTTGCAATTGTGAAATATTTCTTGGTGTTGAGTCGGAGAAATTATGCAGGAAAAAAAATAAAAGAATGGTTTCTTTTAAAATAATGAAAACTTAAATGTACAATTTCTGTTTAATGACTGAAGTCAGAATTGGTTTTTGTTGTAGAGAAGAATCTGTAAATAAATGCAAGAAAACAGAGACACGCAAATAAACAAACAGCCTTAATTATGGATCGGAAAATTGAATTCATTACACAAATCTGACTGAACGGAAGATATGGAAGTGAATAATACCCTTCCGATTTTGAATAATAGTCAGTCTATGCGTGATATAAGAATTATGCTCTTTTGTACATCCTTACCAAAACTAAATTAATCGTTGTCAAATCTGAAAGAAAATAACTTGTTTTATTAAATTATGCAAACAGCAATTCTCAAAAAATATTTTGAGTTTTATTGAATTCATTTTTGAAAAATGCGGGACAAAGTTCTAAATGTTGACATTTGATATTGAATAAATTTTTGACTGAAATAATATTTTTGAGGATTTTTCCTTGTCTAACAACAAAAAAAGGACCGATCGATAAAGAAATGACAAAGTACACACCAGACATATGAAGTGGGATAAAACATACCTCCCAAAAATATTTCCTAAACTTTAATTAAATCTTTTGCCTGATTTGTGGCAAAATTTTAAAAGCGAATTTTGCTTTCATTTCAGAAAAAAAAAACATTTATTTTTGGTTGTACGCATTTTATAAACAAAATATTAAATTGCATTAAATCGGCTGGTATTATGTCGAGGAGATTGAACACTAAGAATGGAAACTGTCCAGTTTGAGAGCTTCGATAATTTGCAGTGAGAAGACATTTGTTTCCGACTTGAATTGATACACACACACACGAGAGGGTCGGGGGGCACACACAAAAGTAACCGGAATCATTTTCTGTGTGACAAGCCCTTGGTAATTCAGGCTTCCATCGCTAGATGCCACTTGAGGCAACCCTCAGGCATCAGTGTGCTACTAACTGGTGTCATTGTGGGAAGACGTACAACTCCGTGGTTCACATTTGTTTCGAAGTGCTTCCCGCCTTTTCGTCTATTTTCATCATGACTGAAAGGATGCTCGTTGTAAACTGAAAAGAACAGTTGCAAGTTGATCCAGACTTTTTTTTCGAAGGTCATTCCTGGTGACGAAATCTGCTGCTATGGTTGCGACCCAGAAACGAAGTAGCAATCAAGTTAGTGGAAGCATCCAATGTCACCACGACCCCCCCCACACCCCACCAAAAGCGCGTCAGGTGAAGTCCATTGTCAATTCGATGCTGATTTGTTTCTTTCATGTGAAAGGAATTCTCCACAAAGAATTTCTTCCTACTGGTCAAACTGTTAACCAGGCTTTTTACTTGGAAGTCCTGAAGCGTTTGCGAGACAAAAACGTGGCAAAGTGGAGGGTAATGGCTGCATTACGGCAATGCACACCCGCCTTGAGTTTGAGACAGTTTCTAATAGTTTCTAACCAAGAATGGCATGGCCCCACTCCCCCCACAACCTACCTATTCACCCGATCTCGCCCCCATGCGACTTTTTTGTACCCCCCCCCCGAATGAAGAAAGTACTCAAACGAAAACGTTTTGCAGATGCGGAAGAGGTTAAGAAGAAAACGACGGAGTCATCATACTTATTATAAAACCCAGGTTGTGTGTGTGTGTGTCTGTACGTTTATATATTGGATCGGATTTCCTACATTTTTCAACCGATTTCAACAAAACTTCACACGACTACGTAAAATTACCTTGCGGTGGTTCTGACAGCGCCAAAAATTGAAAAACACAATTGTTTTTGCATGAAATCAATTTGAAAACACAATTAAGAGGCATCACGAGAATGAAAGGGGGGACAACTCATATCGAGTTATACTTATTATAAAACCCAGGATGTTTGTGTGTGTGTTCGTTTATATATGGGATCGGATTTCCTACATTTTTCACCGATTACAACAAAACTTCACTTTTTTTTTTGGCAGGTAGTGTTTCTTATTGTCTTGCATACTTTTTGCTTTATTTTTACATTGAAAATGCTTTAAAAATTCCATTTATAAGACAATTGTTTATAATAAAATTCTATTCAATCGGTAGACTCATCACGATTGAAAACAATGATTTTCTTTGAATTTGGGTTTGACCAATTCGTAAAAAAAAAAAAAAAGAAACTAATTAAGACATGCATGTCCGTCAACCTTAAACAATAATCTTTGTCAATTTTATTTTTCAGTCTTTATGATGGTCGATACTTGATTTATCTCTTACTGTTACATCCCCGGGCAACGCCTGGCTCTACTGCTAGTTAAAAAATATAACTTCACAAGAGTTCCAGGATTGCTTTGAACAGTGGAAAATACGTCTGGATCGGTGCATTGTTTCAAATGGAAAATACTTTGAAGGTGATAAGAATATAAACGTGCAACAATAAATGAATAAAATTACATAACAAAATTCCGGTTACTTTTGGTTCCCCACTCATATATATATATATATATATATATATATGGGGTGACATCACGTAACTTAATTTCTACCAAATGGAGATATTCACATTTTGTATCCCTACAGGTTTTGTTCAGGTTTATTTTTACAATGATTTTCATGTTACCTGGTAAATTGAAAAGCTAAAATTCGCGCTGCAATTAACTTCCTAAAAAGCTAAGGCAAATGTACATAATGACTTCTTTTCTGGTCAGGAAGAGTTTATAAATAAATGAAGAGGACATGAATAAATGAAAAGATATGTATTTTAAGTATGAAGTTGTAGATTCACAAAGAGACAATGGAGAGGTCATGGTTAAATGTAATTGGTAGAACTGATCAACAAAATGAATTGAGAAATTTTGAAATGAACAATAAAAGGCGAAAGAAAAGAACAGGACAAAAATAATATTAATATTTTATTTTTATCTGAGTATTTATGTAGATAGATAGGTAGATAGATAGATAGATAGATAGATAGATAGATAAAAAGTAAACATGAAGTTTTTTCTCAAAATGTTTTCAAACCACACAAGCTTGCAGAAATAGATGAATGCTTATATATATATATATATATATATATATATATATATGAATAAAGAAAAAGGAATTTGTAAAGAAAAATTGTTTTGTCTTTATTCATATTTTCATCTTATAGATATATTTTATTTTTATCTGAATATTTACGTAGATAGATTGACAAACAGATAGATACATATATAGAAAGTAAATATGAAGTAATTTTTCTTAAAATGTTTTGACGAACCACGCACACACACAAAAGACCACACGCACACATACATACATACATACATGATAAGCAAAATAGTTTCATTAAATTTTTCTTCGCAGAACGTTCTTTAATTAGAATCAAATTTGAATTTCAAATTGTTTTTAACTCGATTCTCTCAGTAAATTTGTTTTCTTTTTTATGACCATCGACAATATTGCTTCTCTTTACCTGATTTTAATGAAAATTATGTCTAGATTCCCACAAGAACTAGTATTAGTCTTAGTTTTTGTAGTGGTAGTAGTAGTACTACTACAAAATAAGTGAAAGACGTTCAGTTTTAAAACACTAATTTCTGTTGACTTTAACCATGAATCAAATGACACTCAGTCCCTTTAATATCCAGAACTCCTGATATGATTACTACTCTAATAATAATAATAATGATACAAGAACAATAGTTATTATTGTTGTTGTTGTTTTATTTTGATTCTTGATAAAATTATTTACAGTACACTGACTTTTTTCTCAAATCAACAGTGAAAGTTACTATAAGTTTCTGAGTAGTAGTCTATCTTCGTATAATATGCGTTTTTATGCACACACACATACACAGATATATATATAATATATGTGTGTATGTGTGTGTATCAGAGAATTTTGCATAAAAGATAAAATGGACAGAATAAATAAATTTATTTGTACAACAAAGTGTTTTGTTTATAGTAAATTTTAAATTTAAT